GTTGTGCATTTGACTTCATGAGATAAGGTAAGAAATATGGTTGTAGTCACTGGTGATGTGTAAGGTTTAGACTTATAATAAGAAATTGAGCCTATTTAAAATGAAGATGTTGAGTCTCTTAAAAATTATGTGACTTTTATGATTTGTAAAACATGATTGTAGGCTCACTTTTTAAAAGTGAAGACATGGTTAGCTAAGTGTTCTTGAGTGTGCCTATAAGTTCTATTATTTTTCCCAAATTGATGCTTGCTAATGAAGGCTAGTGCTATGCTAGAAAATGAATTGTTGTGAAAGGCTTCCTATTGTTGTGATGTGCTTGGTGTGACTTACCATTTAGAATTCACTAGTAAAGAAATTTGAGCATGCTTTGGTAAAAAATTGGGAAATTCTCATTTTACTGTCAAGTTAACTTTTGTGCCTTGTTTGAGTAAGGACCCATGAGACATGTAAGTGTGGTTAGGCGAAGGACATTCTTCCATGGACACAACTAAGCATGGTATAATTGAGTAAAACCCTTATGGTACTAGGTCTAACAAATAAAAATCCTTGTTGATTCAATTGACTCAAGTCTATGTGCATTGAAGTATGAGTGCCTATTTGCTTTTTTGAGTATTATTGAATCTGCCTAGGTGTGTTAATTTATGATAGAATCTTCTTAAAAAGAATTTTAATGACCATATTATGATTAGGAAAATGATATTGCTCCTATGAACATGAGAAGTTCCTAAGTGTTTGATTCATAAAGCATGAGTGAGTGAAAGTGTGGCTCTCTTGTGTTGAATTGAGTGATAAGTGGTGTGAAGTGTGTGTTCATTGTATGTTTGATGCATTAAATTCTACGTGATTATTTTATGAATATTGAGAGCTACCCTAAGATTCATTTGATTCCTTGTTGTGGTTCAGGTGTTCCAAGTGTCATTCGAGGACAAATGTTCCCAAGTGGGGGATATTGTAAGACCCCAAAATGAGTTAAGGTGTCTATAGCCTAACATTTGTGTCTTGATTTTTTGAAATACTAAAATGGTTTCTAAGGTTATAATGAGGAATTGTCTAATGATTTAGGTGATTTGGAAGTCAAAAGTCAAGGGACGACCAAGATTTTTGATAATTTCTCACAAAAAGGACCTTCTGAGTTTTCATGTGCTTATGTGTGTCATGAATCTTGCAGGTTAAATGTCCAAGTCGTTTGAAAGTTAGCCCTTGAGACGTGCATGTGTGTCTTGGGTGTGCCTAGCATGTTTGAAGGTGTTGCGAGTGTTTATTTTGGGTAAAACTGATGTAGAAGGTCATTGACATGTTAATAAGTATATTTACATTGGAAACATTTCGGTACGACTCCCCAAGGGACCCGTAAGACGCCCTCAATGAGGACCCAAAGGCTATGGAGACACTGCCTTGGCAGTGTCAATCGACGGAGCCAAGGGACGCCTCATCAGTGGCCTTACGCCCCGTTGATGCGGGGGGGAGCATTGTACAAGACTTATCCTGGTTAAGGCACAAGTCAATGTACAAGCCTCAGTACCAAACGATGGCCTATAGTATGGTTCGTCGATGGACCTACTGGGCTTCATTTAAGACCATCGATGCAAGCTGTGTAATACTGCCATGTACACTATCTCCTATGGGGTGAATGGGAAATTCACCCCACGTGCTAATCTGACCCTATTTGGTTTATTTTATTATTTTTGGGAGTATTTAAGTGATTAAAAACGTGAATACCCCATACTCAATCCTCAATTCAAAATTAGACTTCCCTCTCCCAAAATATTCTCTCTAGAAAACCTCCATTGGAGGTGAAGCTCAAGAACAACTTGGATATTGGATTCCCATGGATTATTCATGAATATTTCATGGTTACTTCATCTAACAATGGTATGGTGATCCTTTATCTTTAGATGACTTACTATCTAAAGAGTTTCTTCCAATGTTTTCGAAGGGATTTTATAAACAAATTTTGTATTGTTCAATCTAGCCATGTTTTTTTTATCAATTTGATTTCAAAAGCATAATGTTAATGAATTAAGGATTAGATACTGATTTGAATGTGATTTTCAATTCAATTCCATGTTGAGCCCATGATATCTCTCTCAAACTCAATTTAGCCTATGTGTGGGCTTTGTGATCTTGACCTTATGTAAATCGAATTATACTTCAATTATGTTAAAATGATTATATCTACTGGCTTGTATTTATATTGATGATGAATTGTTGAGTAGTTATCCATGAGGATCAAGTTTTGAAGGTTTGAATAAGGCTAGTCTATAATGTCGTTACTTGTGATCTTGATGCTAGAATGGTTGTTATGTGACTTGGTCATGATGAATTGTCTTAGCTACTTCCTATATGTGTAATTTGATGATAAATTAGGTATTATTGATCAAATATGAATGGATACAATCGAATTTGTTAAAATTGATCTAGGTTCCTCTAGCCTATAGATTGATATTGTAATGTACATGATGTGATATCAATTCAGGGTAGGATGTAGCTTAGGTTATATCTCTTTATCTATTGGCCTAAATTTATAATATTTATGAACTATGATTGATGGTCAATGCTAAGGAAATTGGTGAGTTATCTATATTATTCTACTTCTTATCGATTGATGAGTGTAGTCTATTCACTTTAATCTTGACTTTATAACATATGAATGTATGATTTCGTTTATGTGAAGATACATGTAGATGTCTTATATTGTATTGTTGATGAAAAATTATTATTGATCAATGATGATCAAAGGATTTGAAATTGGTAAGATTGCCTATCTCCTTTACTTTCTTATAGAATTGTATGTTGATGTAGCCTTGTTCAGCATTTAGTGGTATGGTCCACTTATGGTGGTTGTGTTTTCTTCATTGTCAATATATATGTGATGTTATCATGTAAATGAAGGCAATTTTATTAAAAATGTGTGTTGGTGATGTTCACCAATGTGAAGCCTTTATGCCTACTTTCCTATTCTAGTTGTGATCTAGGTTGTATGACTATTGTATATGAAAGTGAATAACTATGTTAGGGATAGGTTTAGGTTATTCCAGTGATGAGTTGTAATGGTTAATCTCCCTAACCTAAGTACCCCTATGTGAATGTGTGAACATATAAGTATAGGTGTCTTAAGTAAAATATGAAGTTAACTTGTCTCCTATGCTAGTTTGTGTTGTGTAATCTATGATTGGTTGTGCATTGTGGTTCTAAGACGGTGGATGCCTCAAATTTTTGTTGATAGCCATTACTTGAACATGTTGACCAATGTACACACAATCACACATTATTCATGCTTACAAGTAGTATAGGTTCATTGTGTCTAAATGAAAGGTTATTCTCATATTCAGTAATGTCTACTACTACGCATGTAAGGTATATGTATATGAAACATGTTATGTATTCCCTTAACTAGGATGACTTGATAGGTGTAATAGTATGGGAAAGGGTGTGGGACCTTTTTTATGCATTGCACATATGTACCTTGATAGGATAGTTCCTAAGTTTGGTTTTCTATGTACATGAATGTGAATGCATGGTTATGTTATGAATGTGTAAAATGTGATAAAGTGTTTATATTGAAGGATTGCTCATATAGTAACACCTATATACTTAGGCATTGATGTATGAATATGTGCGACTTCAATGTGTTGATGTGAAAGGTTTTCTCACATATATGTACACACACACATGTATTATGATCTAGTCAATATAGGGGAACCTAGAAGGTGTTCCCAATAGTACCCTAAACAAGATGGTTCTTTACATATGCTATGCCCATGTGAATGGGTTTCTCACATGATTTAGGTTGATGAACTCTCATCTATGACCTATCGGCTAAGCATATGGGGAGTCAATATCCTGAAGACTAATTTTATAAATTAATTTTATGAAGGCTTTCAATAAAGGGAACTTAGCTTAGCACCGAGGGAAATTGAAGATGAGGGGTGTCCATTTCCATTGTAGGAAGGTAGGTCACCATAGACTACACGAGGTGGTTAGCCTCTTAACCAACGGGCATAGAGTGATATTTCCATGATTGGATAACTACAATATCTCATTAGACATATATAAGGGTTTCCATATAAGCCTCAAAGTTTCATAAATATGCTTTCCACATAGGATCGAGCAAAGTGATCTCACTTAGTATGCTAGCATGTGTTAATCTTCTACCTTGACTAAGTATGAACACCTTCCAATTCTATAAGGCTCTCAACACCAAATTCAGTATTTAGCACCCATGGTCTTAGTGTTGGTTAAGGCTATAGTTTCCCTAATGTAAAATGGACAATGGAAGTAAATGAGAAAAACCATAACTAGGATGGCCTAAGGGAAATTGCTTAGGATAGGTGAACGTAATTGAACTTACCTATACATTGCACAAGTAGATCATTATGAAGTTCTAGAAAGTTGTTCTAAAGTGTATGATTATGTTTATGTCTTTATATATGACATAGTGGTTTTGTCTACTTGCTATATATATGTGCATGGTTTGAGTTCTAATGGATCTATGTGATGTGATCTCTCCTTATATGCACTATGTAGGTCTTATTAACTATATTTTGAAGGTCTTGATTGGCATGAATGTAATTGTATATGCTTTACATGTTAGTATAAAAAGTGAATGTTATGATGCTTATGGTCCTATGATAGGTTTACTATGTATGTGTGAGGTTATGTGTCTTCACATGCACATTGCACTGGTAGACTTAGATTAGGATAGTGAGTAAAGTCTTATGTTATGTCTACTGTGATGTATGTGCCTTGTTACATGAAATGGTTCTATGGTTTTATATGTTGAGTCAAAAGGTTGTATGTGTCAGGACCGGAGTCTAGACCCTAGACGAGACTGAGGTCGTTGACCTCTCAGAGGTCGCAGAAAAGCCTTCTTATGTCATTGTTACTTCTTCTAGGTTACTTTAGCGGAAAATTTGAACTTTTTGTTTACTTAGACTTCATAGTGAGAAATATTAAACTCACATAGCACTATCTACTCATAAGCATTCATAACAACCATCTAATACCAAGATAATCAAATTAAAGAAATAGTCAATATCTGCGTAAAATATAGAGTTGCCAAAATGACACCAATACAATATCTGAAATAACTGGGAAAGAAACACTAGTGGAACATACTCCACTAGCTAATGCCTACATCGAATTCTAGAATAAAATAGTAAGCATCCTCGAAAGCATGAGGTCCTACAAAATCCGGATGAAAGCTCCACGTACGGATAACTTTAGCGTCGACTCGTAAGCTCTAGCGTACAACTGCACCTGCACCTAAAAATTGAGAGTTGTATGGCACTAGTACACACTTGTATTAAGTATGGGTATATACAAGCACACACCAAGGACATGCATCATTAAGAAGATCTCTCTCCTAACGATATGAATTATGGAAAGTCAAGTCAGTGGACTTGCCAAAATCAAATCTTGAAAGTCATGCTGAGAGTAACATGCATCATCATACATATCATTTTGCAATCAATACATAAAATATTGCACATATCATATCACAGAGTTCATATCATTCCTTCCTATGACATAAGACCTTGGAATCATGGACTTGACTTTATGACTTCCAAAAATGAGAGCTCAACACATGGGATCTCAACTAGGGAGCTTTCTTTAGCAAACACGGAGTCTGCTTCATTCATTCATACATACTTTCTTTTTAATTCTTTCATATACTAATGCAACCACCAGTCTTACCTAGGATGCAGTTTAAGACTCTCATCCGGTTCACTGTGCAATGACAAAGAATAACCTAGTATCATTACTTAAGTCTAGCTCACCTCTTCATTGTCCTATCCTAACACCTTTGGTATCGTTTATTTAATTATGTGCATTCATTGAGGCTGACCTCATTCTTTCTTTGGGAACTTTAACTTTAACCGATATATATATAATGAGAGCACCATGAAATCCAGTGTCTGCCCCATACCGAAAAGAGGTGGAATCACCAGCTAAAGTGACCAAAACATGCCAGAGTATATAGGGAGTCGAACCCTGCTAGATCCCTATATTGGCAGTATAGAGTCAAACACTAGGAGATATAAGGAGACCCATACCCATCATGACGGACATTCTCATCTCATGATATTTACGTGAACCTCTTCCCTTCCCGAAGGAAGGCATCACCACTCATAGCTAGCCTATCGGTTCTCAATATGAAGTTCCATTATATTCAACTCATACATCATGGAAGCTGACTTCTAGCATGAAAACAGCATAGCTTATTAGATGATTTCTCATCTCATAATTTGTATTGAGTATGCATTAACTTCAATACTTTCATCAGAGTGCTCATAGAGACTGGTCTCATCATTAACTTTACGCTGTCATAGGTGAGTACATCTTGGTAACATTTACTTAGGCTCATTTGAGATTTCTCTCATCTTTCACATTAGCCTCTTATCATGTTGTCACCACATTCATTATCTTTAGCACATTTGATCTTCATAATTACTCACCCCTTTAATGTGAATGGTCATTTCATCATATGCCAACACACTTGGCCTTTTAGAGTGTTTCACACTCTTACTTAACTCTTTTAAGGTTACATCATCTCATCACATACATCATAGGTTCACTTACTTTTAAACATATGCTAGACTTATGAGTCTATACATACAAGCCATGAGGCTTCATTTATAGTTCGTTTAAGTGATTCATATCTTTCTAAGATTATGTGATACAAGACTTATGCATCTTGTATGTATGGCAAGATCTCGATTTTGATCTATGTAGGAAACATTATTTTGAACATTTATTCAAGTACTACTAATATGTCGATACGGAATTGGGCAAGGGAACCCGATTTCGAATCCCTTATATAACACCTACGTTTTTATTTTTTTCCCCTTTCCTAATCTTCACCCTCGTCTTGGGGACCCGATTTCGAATCCCCTCACTAACATTGTGTTTCTTTCCTTTTTCCTTTCCCTCACTTCACCTTAGACGTTTAGGCATTAGGGACCCGAGAACGTACCCCCACAAGCACATTTTTTTATTTTTCTTCTTTTTTTACTTAACCCTCTTGGTGTTGGCAGAGAGGATGTATGTTCTAATCCTACTCCTCTCATCTCATTATTTTTTATTACTTTCTCCTTGTCTCCTCATTGGACCGAGGAGGTCGTGGAGTCGAATCTCACTCCTCCCATCTTTTTTTTAAAATTTATCATTATTTTCATGTTTGACCAAGAGGTGATGGGCTCGAATATCACTCCTCTCACTTATTTATTTTTATTTTAAAGTATGAGAATCGTCTAAGGCACCCAATTTTGATTCCCCTTAACCTCATTTCCTTACTTACATTTTTTTTGTGATTTTTAACGTAGTGAGGTCTTCAGTTCAATTATTAGTGACCTTACTTATTTTACATTCTTTTACATTCCATATTATACAACTTTGCTTGGCCGAAACCAACCAACAAGGTGCTGGAAATTGGGTCAGGTTTTTCAGCTCATTTTATCAACAATTATACGTTAGTTCTTAGGGCATTTCGTGAATCATTTAGTATGTTTTCAGGTGTAGTTTCATAGTTACATTTAGCAAAGAGTTTTCTACTCAAATCAGCCACATTATACCTCATATGAACACCACAATTTATGCAAGTTTTTGCACATTATATACAACCATAAAACATGTCAGTTTTCGAACTTCAAACCGAAAGTATATGTCACAGTTTACACATTGCACACACACAATTTTTCACATAATTTCGGAAGACATAAATTATCATTCATAAAATTCCAAACACAGTTTCATGAACATATTCATCATAAACATCACATTACACTACTAATCTACCAGCAGACCTACCAACCTAAGATCATTGGGAGCTACTGACAGGGAACATGTAATGGCGAACAACCCTTGTTTTCGGAGTAGATTCATCTGAGACTTGAGGGTCTCTTGCGACAAAGGCCAAGAGGAAGAAACCCATACCTGGTTTTAGCTTTCAACACCTTCAAAGTGCTGCAAAATCCACCACTAAACCAACGTCCCACCTTACATGATGAGAAATTACCTTTTTGCATTACGTTTTCAAATTATCTTGTTGTTTGTATTTTTTTTGTAAGTTCTTCAAGTATGAAGAACTTTTGGATTTTGTTTTGTTTCTTTTTTGTAACAAGAAAGAGAATGAAATCGTAAGAGTGTTTGAAGAGAGGGAGATAAACATGAAAGAGAGAGATGTGTGGTAGTGTTCCCTTAGAACTACGACTTTTAGGCAAGACTTAGTCAAATTAGATTAAAGAATAGTTGATAAATAATAATTATTAAAAAAATATGACTTTCCTTTTTCTTAAATCAGCATTTAAATATTAATTAATTAAAATAATTCACCAAATTAAATAATCAAATTAAATCATTGCTCCCACCTAGGTTCGAACACCGGTGGAGCAAGATTTCAGTCAAAGGCCAATTTCGGCCCTTTCTAACCAAATTTACACTTCACAATATTAATTAAATATTTAATCAAATATTTAAGGTAATTACGATGCTACCCTTAGCCTGTAAAAAGACTATTTTACCCCTAGACCCTCCAAACTTAAGATTACCCCTTTTTAAGTCCGATTAAGACTTAACCGGGTTGATCTTCATATTCGGGTGCTCTACATGGCTTGACACAAATTTTCCTTGATAAAAAAACTCACAAATTTGGTTGTTCCAAGGGTCTAGAGGTCTGTTTCTACGTGCATCAATTCGTGTGAACCCGGTCTAATTGTAGGCATTCTAGACACATCAAGCATTACTTAGTATAACCATTTTTAGGATAGTTACAGTATGTATGACTTCCTTGTGTCCTTAAGGTGATGCATTGAATCAAGTAACACTAGAGGGTCAATTGGGGGAATAAGGAATTAAGAAGGAAATGATTCACTGTAAGTAGAAAAGAGTTCACTGAAAAAAAGAAAAAGGCTTAATGTAATGTGACTCTAAAATGCCTTAAATGCAATGTGTGATTTTATATGATTGATGACATTTAATATTCTTATATTATGTATGTGAATTTTAAAAATGCTAGTGTATCAAAATTTTGTGAAGTTTTCACAAAAATGCATAATGCATTATTTCAAGTAAAATGTCCCTTTTAAATATATATTATTGCATGGTTGCCATACTTAGTGCATTCTTTTACTAAATCCATTGTTATCTACCTTTTTATACAAAGTGTAGGTTATCGATGCTTAAAGATGTCTTGAATGGTGAGGATCATGATATGTGATTCCCAAGCTCAAGGAAAGGACTCCTCAAGTCCAAGGATTTCCTACTGTTAACTTATTGTAAAGTATAGTAAATATGTACGTTTGATTTATATTGTAAGGGTATTGTCCCTTGTCACATCCAAGGAGAACCCCGTGGAAATAACATGGCGTACTTGACCTCTCGGACGTCCTATACAAGCGCATTGTTTTCATTCATCGCATTGACATAGTAAATTTATCAAAAAAATTTTAAAATTTTTCATAGCACATCATATGCTAGAAACTTTACTTCATATGTAGATAAAACATAAGTCATAATACATATTTAAACCTTAAGGCCTTTTGCAGTCTAAGACTCAACAACATTAGACTACATTAGGGACACTACCCTTAAAATATAAGACATAATTATACAACATTTAATAAACTTGACATTAAGACATGAGTAGGGAATTCTTGGAACTTAAAGACCTTTTTCCTTGAGCTTGGGAATCACATATCAAGCTCCTCAATCATTGACGTCCTTTAAGCATCCATAATCTACACTTTGAGTAAAAAGTAGAGAAGAATGAGATTAGTACAAGAATGCACTAAGTATGATAACCATGCAAAAACATGCATTTAAAAAGGGACATTTTCTTGAAATCATACTTCATGCATTTTTGAGTAAATATTCATAAAATTTTTAGACAATAACATTTATATCATTCATATACTTCATATTAACATATCAAATGCCAAACATTACATTAGATCACATATAAAATTTATGACATTTGTTAGTCACATTAAAGTGATCTCTTTTTCCATTAACACTGAGCATTATTTCCTTTTATTCATTAACTTCCAAGTAACCCTGTAGTGATACTATGTGAAATGTATCACCTTAAATTCACAAATAACGCATACATACAACCTAAATAAACCAACACATATCCTCATATAATAATGATACATCAAAGACACATTTAAGTCAAAACCTTAGGATATTAAAGTAAGCTACACCAATTTACACATATATTTACTTTTCTTTGTATACATCATCATAACCTTGTTCGTGACCCCAATATTAGTATACTAGTGCAATGAACATATGAAGCCCCACAAACCCATAAATTCTTAGTAAACCCTTCATGAGACCACAAACCTTAACATTCATTTCATACATAAGCAAGTAAGTGAAGGCAACTTCATTCATGTCAATACAAGACCTTCATCATATAGTCGTTTAGGAAAACATAGTGCATATAAGGATAGGATCACATCTTATAGATTTATACCATGTACATCTTCATAATAAGTAAAAAAATTCTACCATACCATCCATATGGACATAAGCATAACATACACATTAGGTCACCTTCACAGGACTTCATAAGGAGCTACTTCCATTCTCCGTTTTAGTTTAGGGAAACTATAGCCTTAACCGACACTAACACCATTGGTGCTAAACATGGAATTTGGTGTTGTATAGCCTTATACAAATGGAAGGTGTTCCTACCTAGCCAAGGTAGAACATTAACACATGCAAACATACTAAGTGATATCACATTGCTAGATCATATGTGGAAAGCATAGTTATGGATCTTGGAGGTACATGTGAGAACCCTCTTTATGCCAAGGTGGGGCATTATATTTGTTCACTTATGCAAATCCTATTTATGCCTATTGAGGCATTATGGTTATCCACCTCATGAGATTTATGGTTGACCTTAAATTCCACATTGGAAAGGGACAAACACTCATATTCAAGTTCATTCTGTGCTAAGCTAAGTTCCCTTTTAAAAGCCTTCATTAACATTAGTTTATAAAATATAGGCTTAGGAGAGTCATTCCTCATATGCTTAGCTCATAGTTCATAGATGAAAGTTCATCAACCTAAATCATGTGAGAAGGTCCTTTCACATGGTCATAACATATATTATTAACACTATCTAGTTTATGATACACTTGAGTACACCTTTCAAGAATCTTCTATTAACTAGATCTTCATTCATGTGTGTGTGTGTATATATCTGTGAGCTTTAGAATTTATGAATTATACATCACACAACATCATAGAATGGTTAGCATAGAATAAGACTCATTTATTTAAGACTTACAACATTCTTATAGTAAGCTTTAGACTTTATGTACTAATCTTAGCTTTACATCACCTATAGCATCGTAAGACCTCAACATAGGAAGAAAGTACACATAACCATAACATAGACATTTACATTCTCCTAAGAATAGTAACATCACCTAGATTCACAACTAAAGAAGAAGGCTAGGAACAAGTTACACATAAGGTGATCATCATAACCACTCATTCATATAAATATCAATTTTTCTTCAAGGCCATGGTCAACATATATATAATCACAATAAAGTAAACACTTGAACCCTAAGTTGACCATACCACACAATGTCATACAAGTCTTCATCAACTACATTAATATAGGAAAAGTACAGGAGATAAGCGTTTCTGCCTATTACTCACCCTTTGATCATCATTGATAAATACACCTTGTTTATCAACAATTCATATATAGGGATGTATTTAAATGTACTTTAATCATAATATAATCATGTACAAGTCACTACATGATCCTACTATAACATAATACTAGGCATCTCATATATACTAGAAAGTAGAGAGCCCAATATCATCAATTAACCTCCCTAGTTTAGTTAATCAGTCAAGGTTAATCAATAATGTACATTAAGGGAAATATCTAAATACATATAAATCAAATCTATAATATGCTTCATCAACCCTAGAATTAACATCACATAATGTTCATTACAACATTCAAATTGTCAGCTAGAATAACGTAGATTAATTCATGCCAAGACTCCTTTTCATTGAACAATTCATACACGCAACTCATTAATATTATCAACATAAGGAATTATTTAAGGACAACATAATCTACATGAAATCCTACTACAATTTTCCATAACCTCTTGATCACAGTGAACATGCTATTCTAGACATCAATGGAAAATAGAAGATTCATAGGCTAATTGACATCGATCCACATGGATAACTTATTTAAAATTCATCAATAATATCTAAGTAATGCAATAGACACAACGATCCCTATACAATCGAATTTCACATTAAATCATTAAGAGGCCAATGTTACAGGGAATTATGGAAAACTAAGCTAAGCATGTTCAAATCTTCATACATTGATCCACGTGGAATTTTTGTCATAAATTCAAAATCAATTCACGTAAATAACAGTAGATATAACCACTTCAACGTAATGGAATCAGAGTTCAATTGATAACAAGTCAAGATCACAAAGCCCATGCAAGGACTAAATCAATTTAGGAATGGAACATGGGTTCAGCATGAAATTGTATTAGAATCACGTTCAAACCAATACATTAACATCAATTCATCATGATTTAACCATTTAAATCATTTTGTGAATGAACCCATGGATAGATTGAAGAAGAAGAACTTTGATCATATTTTTCTCTTTGAAAACATTGAGATTAACTCTCTGGATGGAAGGATAACTTGAGATGAAGGATCACCATGCCTTTATATACATGAAGACCTCAAAAAATTGTTGAATAAAACATAGAAATCGATGATCCAAGCTGTTCTTGAGCTTCAACAATAATGGAGGTTTCAAGGGAGAAGAATTTTTTTGATGGAATGTTCAATTTCGTGTAGAAGGGATTGGGAATAGGTTGTTCACCAGTTTGATCCCTTATATACACCCAAATATAGGTATATTAATCAATTAGAGTCAGGTTACGATGTGGGATGAATTTCACATTCACCCCTTAAATAAAACAGTAGGCAGGCAACAACTATAGCCCACCATCGATGGACCAATCGACTGGCCGTCCATTGCCTTTCATCGGTTGGATCTTATCCTGTTTTTTGATTGATACCTTCCTATAATAAGTTTCCATCAATGAGGCCTCACTAACGGGCTGTTGTTCAACCACCGGGACGACGTTTGGTTCGTCGATTGACACTGCCAAGGTAGTGTCTCAGCCAACCTTGGGTCCTTCTTGTGAG